ACACACACACACACACACACACACACACACAGATGAGAGGGAGGGGATAAAGAGTTTAAGAGGGGGGAAAACAAAGAGATAGACAAGTATGGTCGGACAACCTTTAGGAACAACCTGCAGATTGTTTGATAGTATTCAAGTTGTGGAGTTTTAGTTGTTAACGTTTCTGTCACTCTCATGGCATTCTTAGCGATCATTATCCTTTCACAAACAAATTTCAATGTCCTGTTTTTTTTCAGTGTGGATTATTTTTCCACAAGCATACAACAGCGCCTCAATGCTAACAACCAACTGAAACAACAGGCCTAGCCACGGCGGCTATCGCAAATCACCAAGGATGAATGCTAGTAAGTATCCTAAACGAATAGGTCAAGGAAAGCGGCGACAAAGGAGACCCGCAAGTGAAGAATACAGTGGGGGCGTGAGGTGACCCGTCAAGCGATTTACCTGTTTATTACTTGCATATTTTATTTTTTTACTGTGTATTTGTTACATGTAAAATTTTATTTTTTTAGTTTAGTTTTTAAACTTTGTTTTTAAATGGTTAAGTCTTATTCAAATAGCAATTAATTTTAAATTCTTATAAAAAATAGAATTAAAAAAAGGGATTAAAATAAAAAATGCAGCAAAGTAAATGACATATTATAAGTTTTGAAACATTCATTTTAGTTCTTCAACTTAAACGATCATATAAAATATATAATTATGGTCCCTCAAAATTATTTGAATTTCATTTTGATATAAAAATATATTTTTATTATTTTTTGATTCTTGATTGAAAGAGAAGAGAAAGGGATCGATGAATTCTAACAATAAAGAAAAAACTTGTCGTTGATATTGATTTAAACCATCAAAATAAAATATTTGTGTTGAATTATTTCATTTAATATGAAAAATTTATGTTAAATGTTTTTATATCTTAAAAGTTCATTAAAAAACAAGATACAAACTCAGATTAATTTTTTGTTTTGGGTTAAGTTTGATTTTGGAGTTTTTTGATGCCATGACTAAGTTTATCATGGTTTGTAGAGTGTTTTATAAAAAATTTTTGTTATAAATACGTTTTAAAACATTTTTAGATCAAAAAAGTATAAGTTTTGATTTTATGAAAACCACAATGATCATAATATAGATAAAATAAGCAATATATTCTTTACCTTGATATCAAGACAATATGTCATTTGTTGCTTACATAATAGTCAAATCTAAAGCATTTAAAAAGTGTTTAAATATGTTATAATTACTATAAAAATATAATTTTAAAAAATATAATTAAAAAATAAAGTAATGTGATCAATTATAAAATTAAAAACCTAAAAAATAAATAAAACCTAATTTTCAAAAAAAATTTGGTTCACTATAATTTTATTTTTATCTTTTATAAATAAACTATGTTTTTAAAAATAAAAAATACTTATTTTTTAATGATAATTTTAACATGTATAGCCTTACATTTTATTTTTTATTTTATTTTTATTTTATAAAATTAGTTTAATATATTTTTTTAGATATTATTAATAATTTTTTATTTATTTATTAGCTTTTATAATTCTTTGTTTATTCGATTTATAGATAAATTCTTTTTAATTAGTTATATTTTTTTGAACTACAAAAATATTTTAAAATAATATAAATTTTTTTATTTTTTTGTAATAATGTAAAATTTTTTATAAAAAATAAAAATATTTAATCATGTAGCTACTAATAATATATGATGTTTTTTAAAATATTTATTTTATTTAAAAATACATTGAAATATTTTTTTTTTTAATTTTTAACCAATCAAAATAATTTTAAAAAATTAAAAAACTAACAATTTTCAAAAAATTCTTCAGAAACAAAAATTAAAAAACCGAGATTACTTGACAATGTATTTTTTCATTCAAAAATATAATAAAATAATTTATTTTATTTTTTAAAATTTATTTTTAATATTAACATATCTAAACAATAAAAAAAAACATATAAAAATAAACGGACCCCCTCAAAGACAAAAGTAAAGTGACGATTAGATCGAACCATAACTACGTATCCACGTTCCAATAGTTGCATTCGAAGTTACATATGGCCGATCCAAAAACAAAATAGATGGCAAGCTATATATTCGAAATTCAAGTACCTGTTCTTGGAGTTCTTTCAAAGGTTCAAACACCACGCAATTACCACTCTGCGAACATAAATATTCATACAAGAAACTAGGTAGTCTATAAATAATTGTCTAAATAATTTGTTGTCAAATCACATTCAGTTCTCCTCACCCACTGGCATCCCTATTTCAGTGATTATTGCTGAGCACACTGTACCCTCTGGGCACCACCATGCATATCATCATCTTCATCATAGGCTTCTTGGGCCTGTTGCTGCTGTTTCCTTCTCATCTCCTCCTCGATGTTCACATCATGTAAAGTAGTTTCCTCACATTCATCAAGCTCCATGTCAGTCAGCTGAACAGAGGCTCGTGGAGGAAGAGCAGCCTCCAAGGCCTTGCACTGGTCAGCGGACAGGGAATCTGGGAAATCAACACTGAAATGAATGTAGAGCTTCCCTCTCATAAATGGCCTTTGGTACATTGGCATTCCTTCATCATTTATAGCCTTGAATTGATCTGGGACAAAACCAAACAGGAGAACCATAAATTACCAGCTATTAACAATTAGAATCCCAACTTTAAGGAACAAAATCACATAAAAGCTCAAATCTTAAAATGTTCTGATGATCAATAAAAATAGGACTAGCCCTGCAACACTCTTTAGCCAATACTACAAATAAATTCACCCAAAAAATCCAGGAATTGGAGAGACAGAAAATCCAGAAATTTAGTTAGTGAGTTCGATGCAGATCTAGCAAAAGGATGTTTTCCATTTGAAAAAATAAAATAAAATAAAGACAGTGAAAGGGTTGTCTGTCTGTCTTGTGCAAGGAAAAAGAGTTCAGAAATGCAGAGACATTGTCCACATCAGTATCATGTTATCACCTGCGATGAATTCTCGATTGCCAAATCTAGTACTAACGACAAAGAAAACATGGATGTGTTATGGCACTCACCAGGCTTGACTACTTCCCCAGGTTGAGATTTTATCAGGAGCTGCCTTCCATCCAAATGGGTCAAGACGAAATGGAAGCCACAGAGTGCCTCAGTAAGAGATAGGGTGTGCTCAACAAATAGGTCATCACCCTTTCTCTTAAACTTAGGGTGATCCTTTTGCTGTAGGACGAAGACGATGTCCCCTGTAACAGTATCAGGCTGCACATAAAACACAGAACAATGAAAATGGCACGCACTCGGGCAGGGTAGTAAAGGATATTAATCAAAAACAACAAAAGCATCCATTCAAGAGTGGTGCAACTTACTGCCTCATCAGCTTCTCCAGGGAACGTTATCCTCTGCCCATTTTGCATGCCCTTCTCAACAACTACTTCCAAAACTTTTTTCTCCTGAGCAACCTTTTCACCCTTGCATTGAGGGCAACGGTCCTTATCATTAATTGTCTCGCCCGTACCCTTGCATTCATTGCAGGGATGCTGCATTTGCTGGATCATAGAAGGACCAAGGTGTCTTATGGAGACCTTCATTCCAGAACCCTGGCAACCAGCACATTTTGATGATGCTCCGGACTTGGAACCTTTACTGCGAAATTTCACATGAAACAACCAATGTCAGCTGCAAAACGCACAGAAAAAAAAATAGAAAAAGAGAGAAAAATGCTCAGCATGCCACAACATGCAGCGCAGTCTATGCACACACTAACCCCTTGCACTTGGAGCAGATTACATTGCGTGAAAGAGAAAGCTTCTTGGATGTGCCATTATAAAGGTCTTCAAAAGAAACTTTAAGGGGGTGGATCACATCCTCGCCCCGCCTTTGCCTTCGGCCTCTGCTGCTACCACCACCTAGACAAAAGAATTTGTTTAGGTCCAATGTGATCAAAAAGTTTTTCCAACTTTAGCAAGCTCTTGTGATTCAAACCAAATTATTAGTCAGAAAACTTACCACCGAACGGATTACCACCACCAAAGAATGATTGGAAGATATCAAACGGATCATGGCCGCCGCCTCCGCCCCCGCCCATTCCTTCCTTGAGGGCATCCTCTCCATACTGATCATATATCTCACGTTTCTCAGGGTCACTCAGAACCTCATATGCTTGTGCCAACTCCTTGAACTACAAGGCACAGGTACAATTACAATGATTTGAAAACAAAAAATCAAATAACAGCACTCTCCAAGTTATACTTCAACGTTATAAATGATTTGTTAATGCTTCACACAAATTCCATTAGAAACAGCTACTGGCTAATATCAAACTGTCCAAAGATTAAGTGCTTTATAAGCCTAAGAACAATAGATTATAAAGAAAACCACAACCCAATTTCATATAAGCATTGTCTACAACCATAATGACCTACCAAGACGGTTGATCTGCTGTCAATCTGACCAAATTAAAACTCACAGTCAACAGGAACCAAAACCACCCGAATATAACCACAAGCAACCCTTCAAGTCAATTTAATAGAAAAGATATACCTTTTCAGGATCACCGCCCTTGTCAGGATGGTTCTTGATTGCTGCTTTCCTATAAGCCTTCTTTAGATCATCCTGTGAAGCACTCTTTGAGACTCCAAGAACCTCATAGTACTTGGTGTTGTCGCTTTTCTTTGGTGCTCTCCCAAACATTTTTTTATATCAATTAAAATCCTGCATGACCAACAAAAGCCATCAAGATCAATGTGACAAAAACACACACAAAAATCAAGAATCTGGACAAAATAGCAAGAAAGGAAACTTTTTTGAAAAAATAACAAGTACCCAGAATCAAAATCAAGATCGAGAATCCAATAGTACTATAACGATTGAATCTTCCTAAAATAATAACAAGTTCCCACATGCAGAATCGAGGCCAAGAAGCTAAGACTCTGTAAAGATCGAATCTATGCGAGAAATAAAAACAACCCAGATGCAAAATTAAGATCGAGAAACTAGAAAAACTATAAAGATTGAAACTTTTGGAAGAAAAAATAACGTACAGATGGTTAGATTATTTTATCAGGAGAGCAACAAGAGAGACGGCGAGACAGACAGAGGGGTTGAGCGTTTGTCAGATCTGTGTATTTAAGGGAAAGAAAGAATGGACGGTGGAGATTTGATTGGTGGGAGGGGTAGATAGTAGAAATATATTATTATTGTCGTTATTGAGGATTCCTAAATTGTTTCTTATTCTTTGATTTTGGGGGTTAAAAGGGACTGAGAGGAGGTGGACATAGAAGGATCTAGAATTCTCTTGAAGGTTTTCTCGGGTATATGGTGACTTTGGGTCAATGATCATGTCCACACCTTGTGATGGTTGTTAACCTAAAATTGGCTAAAAGCGTGTTTGTCTAGTCATTACTAGTTGCATGGCGTGCTGGCCGATGGATTTATTTTTTATTTTCATAAAAAATATTATAAAAATTTATAATATAAAATTTAAAATTTATTAATAATATTAATTATAATAGTAATAATAATATTTATAACATAAAAATACTACTTTTGATATGAATATTTAGAATTATAATAAAAATAATGATATTTGTAATATAAATAATTATATTAAAAATTTTAATAATGAATATAACATAAATAATAGTATTTTTTATGTCAATACCTCAAGTTATAATAAAAATAATAATATTTTTTATTAGAATTCATTGCCATTTGATCCTGTGCTGAAATAATCATATTGAATCCAACGTAGGATCCATTATCATTATGCCCTAACCCAGAACCCAAGCGAATTGGGTTTCTCTGACAACGGCTCATTACCATTGGATTCTGATGCAAGCGCATAGGTAGAGTAGCCTAAGCGCCAGTTTCACCACGTGGTGCGCGGGTCTTGCTGAATGCTCCTGGCAAGCTAGCCACAGTGTATACGTGGCGCGCACGTCTCGCTAAAAGTCCTTGGCAAGCCAATTTCAAGTGGCGCGCACGTTTGCCCAGTGCAAAAGTAGGCAACCCAAGGTCTATGTATCCCCACATGGGGCCTGGACTTAGCTCACACCCAAGACAAGGACAAGTCAGCCCCAGCGTCACATGGTGCTCAGGTCTCATCTAGCAAAAGGACAAGTGGCCCAGGCGCCAAATGTCCCCGCGTGGGGGCGCGTGACTAGCTCCCGTCTAGGGCAAGGCAAGCAAACCCTAGCCACACATGGCATTCGAGTCTAACCCGGTGCAAAGGTAGGGCAACCCGATAGTCAAAAATATTATTATTTTTATTATAATTGAAGGTAATAATATTAAAAATACTATTATTTGTGTTATAAATATTAATATTTCTACAATAGTTCAAAGCATGAATATTAAAAATATTATTATTTACAGTACAAATATTTTTATTTTTATTATAATTAAAAGTGTCAATATTTATTTTTATTGTAGTTCAAAGTATTAATATAAAAAATGTTATTATTCGTGGTACATATATTATTATTTTTATTATCATTGAAAGTATTGCCACTAAAAATATTATTATTTGTGTTACAAGTATTTTTAGTCGAGTATAATTTTTTTTATTGTTATAATTGAAATTATTATTATGAAAAATAGTATTATTTGTGTTCTGAATATTATAATTTTTATTATAATTCAAAGTATTAGTATCAATAATATTATTATTTGGGATATAAATATTATCATTTTTATTACAATTGAACAAATAATATTTAGTACACAAATTACAATATGTTTGATATTAATACTTTTAACTATAATAAAAATAATTATATTAAAAAACCCAAGACCCAATAGCCTTAGGTCCTGACAAAGAAGCCATAAAAATTAAGTTATGACGCAAAATCAATTAACCATGGGCACGGGGTAAGCCGGTCTCAGCGTCATATCGAGTTTGACCTGGCGCAGAGGCAAGGCAACCCAAGCACTAGGTCTCCCCACACGGTGAGCATGTCTGCCTAGCATAAAAGCAGGCAACCTAAACGCCAGGTATTCCCACTTGGGGGGTGCAGACGTGGCTTACATCCAGGGTAAGGACAAGTCAGTCTTAATGCCATGTAGTGCTCAGGTTTGACCCCATGCAAAGGCAGGCAACTCAAGCGCTAAGTGTCCTCACGTGGGGTCGCGGACCTGGCTCACGTCAAGGGCAGCTCACCAAAACTTGAAGTGATCATTTTCTATTCAATCATCTCTTCAATGTCAAAATACATCATAATAAAAAGATAACTCCACCACTTCCTTGCTGCCCTTGCAACTCTTTGTAGTAAGGATTGAGCTACCATTATACTGCTCCAATTCATAATGCTTTAAATCTAAATAATAGTAGCAATAATAAAGGTTATCTAAATGTTGTACAAGAAAAAATTACTAAACATTGTCCAAACAACTTTTATGAGATATATCTATCTAAAATGATTTAATTTTAATATTTTTAAATAAGAATAATATTTTTTAATAAAAATTATTGAGGTTAACTCATCTAGGTCTTGTACAGTAATTAAGTCGTAAATTTAACGTGTTGAATTACTTAAGTTTGATGTTATCAACTTCTTAAACATGTTATTAAATTATTTGACAATTAATTCAATCTAACTATAGTTAAGTTTTAAGAAGAACCTTTAATAATAATAAAATTTGTAATACATAAATTCATTTTTAAAAAGAGAAAAATTGAAGAAATTTATCTATAAGTTAATAATTTTATTAAAAATAATAATAATATTTTTATAGAAGAAGAAGATTCATAATTTTATTTATGAGATTTTATTAAAAATAATAATAAAAGAGTTTTATGAACATTGAAGTGGATTTCTTCTTCATGATAAGAGTTTTTAAAAGAGGAGGGAAAACTCATCCATTGTAAATGCACATTTCCACTTAAAGAAATAATACACGAGGATGATTCATTACCCCCCGTTAGATGGAATAAACATGGATTTGAAAAATCCTTGTTTTTATTTAGAGTATGTTGCTTCTTAAAGTTATCTTTATTTGAAATATATTAAAATAATATTTTTTTATTTTTTAAAATTTATTTTTAATATTAATACATTAAAACATTCTAAAAACATGTAAACAATTATTTAAAAAAAAAACTGCTTTCCAACCATATAATTCAAACAAGATTTAGAGACTTTTAACATGCATGTATACACACTATTCGAACACAGCACTGTGTTCGAATTCATAATTTTTTTCTAAATAATTTGGAACCACAAGTTGGGTTAACCCAAGTATTATTTCAAAAGCAACAGAAATTTTTGATTCACAAATTCCCGTTAGCCTTCCATCATAAAGAAAACAAAATGATATGGTTTTAGTGTTACTCTATATAGAAATTGCAACAATTAAATTTACATGGTTATAGTGTATAATTAAGAGAATTATAAGTTTTTTTTTTTATAATCAAAACATTACTTGAATGCATGTTTAACGTGTCTCAATGAGTAAGCAATACCCACACTATTAAAGTGGCACGTCAAATGCTTTTTGATGGCTAAATCTAGTTATTTATTATATAATTATATTTGTAGACATGTTCATTTACACATGATGCAACGCGTGCAGACATACAATCTAGTCATTCATTGTATAACTAGATGTGCATATGTGTCCTCTCACACATGGTGCAGCATATATAGACATCTATAATTGAAGTGCCATGTGGTGATCGATTGATTGTATTTTGTTCTCCTTTTCTTGACAGCTAAAGTATACAATTATCCTTTGTTTGTTTGTTTGCTTATTGTTTGCTTATATTTGATATGGATTGTCAAACACAAACACCTTGGTTCTAGCAAACACACAAGCTGATAACCATGTTCGGTATTAAACCTAAACATGGATTTAACATGACTATCAGATCCAAACTTCGTGTAAGTTTATTGTGGGTCAAGACACAGTACACTATAGACTTGCACAGTAAATTTTTTAAGTTTTGAAAGCATGAAACGAGGCTAATGTTATCTTTTTCACATAAAATTAAATTATCATTTTGCTTTTTGCTTGAGAAAATTAAAACTTTAGTTATGGGGTATTTCATTATTTTTTATATGCTTATTGGTATTAAACATTCATTTGGAGTATGGTAGTCTTTCTGATGACTATTTGCATTATAAAATTCTATTTCATCTTTGAGGTTGATAAAATTAAAATATTTTGCTTAGAGTATTTTGACATCTCATATATTGTTAGCTTAAAATACACTTTTAGCCTTGAAAAAAAATTAAAAAAATAAGCTTTTTATATGAGGATATTTTTTTTGTTTTGCATTGTTTTTTATGTAATTTCTATAATCATTAGGGATATTTTGGTATTTTAGTACTATTTTATTATTTTTAAATTCATAAAATTATGCTGGACTCATATTTACTTGAGTGCCACAACCAAGCAAGACCCAGATTATTTGGGTGACAGGCACAAGTAAATTAAACTTGACATGTTTTTTATATTTAAGGCACTTGAGTTTGGTATGTTTAACTCAAGATGCTTAAAATATTTTTTATATATCAAATATTTTTTTTAAATGATATTAACCCACTGTAGAGCACAAATCAATATAGTAGTAGCTTGCTAAATCTTATAGAAGAATCTAAAATCAAATCCTCATGCAATTATAAATATACCATAAGAAAAACATGACTCTTTATTGTGACATGCATGTGATCATATTTCTGAAATTTTAGATTTTCAAAATGTGTTTTTTAAATATGTCAAAATAAATATTTTTATTTTTTAAAATTTATTTTTGTTAGCATTAGGGCATTAAAATAATTTGAAAATATAAAAAAATAATTTAAAATAAAAAAATTATTTATTTTTAAAAATTCTTTTAAAATATAAAAACAAAAAGACTATACTATCTAAGCTTTTAATATTGAGATGCCATGGGCATGCATCAGAAGGCTAGAAACTAGAAAATCATCTTGTCAGAGGTGGAATTAGAACTTTTAATGTGGGCGACCGTATAATTAAGATTTTTCAAGAATTCAGGGCTAAACTGTAAACTTTCTTAAAATTTGGGGTATCGTCGCACCATAAACCCTAGCTCTGCGATGTTGAACAAACAAAATGGCCGAACAGCGCCTAACTTCCCACGGATCCAGGTTCAAGACTTGGATCTTGATTCTTATCCATCTGGGTCTGCTTCCGTTGTTGACGACAACTATATCTGCCATTATCAAATGGCATCTGATCCTGCATGAGTGTTCTGCTTCGAAGAGACCATTCATGTTGCTGTCAACATCACTAGCATTCACACAAATGTCTCGGAAGCTTCAGAGAGAAATTGAAGTTTCTGTGCAAGAAACCCATCTAGGGATAGAATATCACCAAGGATATTTCTTGTTTTCATTCAATGTATAAAAAAATAGGAGAGAATGAGGGATCTTGCCAGTCAAGTATTCTGTCCGTGGTTACATGATGTTTCACAGCATCTGCGCAGGGAAACTATAATTCACACCAGCAAATTCATGAACTTTTAGTTAAGGTCTTCGTTACGCTTTTCTTGTCCTTATACTAATTTTCTATTTTTTTAAAAGTTCTTTCTATTTTCTATAAGTTTTTTAATATCAAAACAATTTAAAAATTTTTAAAAAATAATGTAAAGAAAAAACATAAAATATTGATTGAGACGCAAGATCCGAAAAAAGAAATGAAAGGAGTGTTTGGAAATGCGTCTTAATCTGTATTTTTAATAATAATTATTTTAATATGTTGATTTTAAAAATAACTTTTAAAAAATAAAAAAAATATTTTAATATATTTTTATAAAAATTACTTTAAAAAATAATTTCAATCAAAATAATTACGCTCCAAGGCTTTCCGGCTCAATGGCAAGGATCCTGTATCCGAAGGGAGCATGAAAGGGGGCACTTTCTTGGGCCCATAACACAACAGGCCCATGTTAGTTATAAGTTGTTTTGTGTATAAAAAAGAATATTATTTGGACGAAGAGTTTTAAAAATAGATAAAAAAAGATTTTATTGATAAATTCAATAAATTTAATTTGAGAATTAAATCAATACAAAAAAGATCCTGAAAAAATAAAACTGATTATATAGTCTGGGGGGATTATTCAGGTTTGCCCAAGAGAAAAAGTTCCCTGTGAATGACTGCACAAGAATCCCCTGTCCCACCCCTTGCTGTCTTCACAACTGAAAAGACTGAAACAGTCCCTGCCATAAATAGCCTTCCCACCTCACTGTTCCTTTCCTAGCCCTTCCCTCAATAAAGAAAAATAGCCATGGATATCTCAAATATCTTGCAAATATTTGAATATTGTTTTTTTTACATGAAATATATTAAAATAATAATTTTTGAAATTTTATTTTTTATATAAAGCAAAAAAGTTTTTTTAAATAAAATATTTAGAAAACATGAGTGATTCACATTGCAAAACAGTACTATCACCATCAAATTTCTAACATTGCTAGACTAATCTCTTCCCCTTCTGTCTTTTGGTACACTTCATGAATCGTTTGATATCCGCATCTTATCAGCAGTAATCCACTGAAGCCACGAACTCTAATCTCTTCCCATTATCATTTTTTTTTTTTCACTTTTAACACATTTTATCTTTATCTCCTTCTTCCCTTCAAGAGCTCAACCCCATCTTCCTGCTCCAATGTCTTCAAGCAAAACTCAAAAAATAGCATCAACACAGACAGAATCCTTAGTGAACTACTTGGAAACTAAACCACACAAAAAAACACATACCATGTTGTCCTCTCCAATCATCTACTCCTTTTCACTCTTGCTTTCGTTTTCCCTCATCTACCTCTTCTCCCCTCAAATCCTTCCTCTCCAAAACCCTCAAAACCTCCCTTTAGATGAACTTGATGATCTTGCTCTTTTCAAGAAAGCCCTTAGGCCTTGCACAACTACCTCCCACCTATCCACTAAGAACCCCACTCCTAAAATAGCCTTTCTTTTCCTTACAAACTCTGATCTCTCTTTTGCTCCTCTATGGGAGCGTTTTTTCGAGGGCTACAACAATCTTTACAACATCTATGTGCATGCAGATCCATTTAGTAAAGTCTCAAACCCAGATGGGATTTTCAAGGACCAGTTCATTCCCGGCAAGAAAACAGAAAGGGGCACTCCTTCTTTAATCTCTGCTGAAAAAAGACTTCTAGCTAGAGCCATTCTCGATGACCCTTTTAATCTTTACTTTGCTCTTGTTTCTCAACACTGTGTCCCTCTCCATTCATTTCAATACATGTACAATACCCTTTTTGGCCACAACATTTTGGAAGCTTTCACAGCTCAATCTCATCATAAAAGTTTCATTGAAATTCTCTCCCAAGATCCGAACTTACCTGATAGATACAATGCTAGAGGGGAGAACATTATGCTCCCAGAAATTCCATTTGAGAAATTTAGGGTTGGGTCTCAGTTTTTTGTGCTTGCAAAAAGGCATGCTTTTCTTGTACTCAAGGATAGAAAGTTGTGGAGAAAGTTCAAGCTGCCTTGCTTGAATATAGAGTCCTGTTACCCTGAAGAACACTACTTTCCAACACTTTTATCAATGAAGGATCCTACAGGATGCAGTCAGTACACATTAACAAATGTTAATTGGACTGATTGCTTTGATGCACACCCTCATCTGTATCAAGCAGAAGAGGTTTCACCAAATTTGGTGCATAGATTGAGACTGTCTAATTCAAGTTACTCTTATTTTTTTGCAAGAAAATTTGCTCCTGATTGCTTGCAGCCATTGATGGAAATTGCAGATGATGTGATTTTCAAGGATTGAAAAAAGAGTGAGCAAAGGTGAGTAAAGTAAGCAGTGCAGAATAATTACTTGCTATCGTATTGCCTTCTTTTTTTGCTTTTTAGACTTTGGCCAGCAGTCCATGAGTGCGTGTTTGACATTACAATTGAAATCGATGTTGATTGAAAAAGCATCCTCTTGATGCATTTCACATTTCCAATCTCAGTCCCAAATGGGTTTAGAGCCTGTTTGATTTTTAAAAGTATATTTGAAAAAAAAAAAAAAATTTTTTTAGTTTTTGTTTTAATTTTTTTATATTTTCAAATCAAATGTACTAAAATAAAAAATAAAAAGATATTATTTAAGTGTATTTTATAATCAAAATCATTTAAAAATCAACCCCTACCACGAATAAGGCTGAGGTCGGTCCGTAGTCGGATTTTTATTTTTTCTTGTCTGGTTTCTGATTATACTAGAAAAGGTGATTATGGTACCATAGTTTTCCCACTAATTGAAAAATAGAAGGCAATTATAACTTGTGTTGCTTTAAAATCAATTAGATTGTGAAACCATGTCTTTTGTTTCTTTATTTGTAACCAATTGATTCTCGACATGTTGGTTATAGGAAGTATGACTTTTGCTGGTTATAATATATTGTTCTTCAGGTATTAGCTTATGTAATTATTCTACTAGCTTTGTAGTCCTTTTACTTTTATATATTTAGAGTGATAGAGAGATACCGGTTTGCAATTTTGATGTCACAGCTGACCTATGTGCAATTATGCTTATAAATTATAGCTAACGCAAAGGGCAAAGGATCATGCTAGAAGAGTGCTATTTCAAGAAAAGAATCGATTCCTCATTAAGTTTGTGGGGACTTGGCTCACGATAGTTTAGAGGGCACGTTTTCTCTGTGGACCTAGGGTGTAATTATGGGTTTTGGTTTGCTTTCCTGTAGTAGTCAAGGCAGGCTTAAATTCTCAAGAAAAAATTGGGAGATTCAAGGCCTAAAGAGAAGGTTGAAGCAGATTTAAGACCTGCATTTTGGTTGTGGTTCTCTCTCTCATGTTGATCTGAAGAAATCAAGAAATGCAAAATTAATAAATGAAATAACAGTTTAGGCATTTGCTTAGGTGCTTAGCGGGTTTTCTCCCCTGGTTAATTGTAAGGAAAACTTTTAGTTGATATCCTATACTGCAAAGAAGATAGAAAATTTAAAAGTATACTTTTGAACCCAGGTGGAAATATTTTATCATTTATGACCTGTTTAAATTCAATTAGTGAGAAATTTTGTGTTTTTTCTTCTTTTTGTTTCAAAAAAAAAAAGGCTAAGGAACTTGAATGTCCTGTGCTCTTACAACTTTGTTGTTGTAAATGAAGCTGTTCAAAAAGTCTGCAAATGTCAAATTTTATAATTTAGAAATTGCTAACTGCTCTTCTCTTTTTCTCTTGAGGGGTTTTGGTTTTTGACTTTTGAGCCCGTGCTTCATCGGGAAAACAAAATATGTTTTCATATTCCGAAGGTTGTGTTTTGAGCCATGACAAGAGTGGTGTCGGCATGGTGCTTTGCAATTTTTGCAGTGTAGGATCCCGCAGTGGAAATAATATTTTTAATTTTTTTTTATATTAGTGAATCAAAATAATTCGAATATATATATATATATATATATATAATTTGAAATAAAGAAAAAATAACTAAAAATTTAATTTTTTTTAAAAAATAATTTTCAAACGAAAAACCAACATTACTAGAGTTAGGACAAAACCCTTGACAAACGAAAAACCGACATTACTAGAGTTAGGACAAAACCCTTGACTCAAGAGTTCGTGTGCGTTACGGTCCATGGTCCTTTTGACTAATGAATTAATGTAAAATTCTTCAGCGTAGCATGCTAGCTCACGTGAACTTGTCTGTGGAAATATTGTTTTGCAGGTTTTGGCTAAAGGAACCTTTGAACTTTGTTCGGACATTTGTGAATGGAGTGGAGTGAATGAGGAAGAATTATGTTGGTGTGAAGGGAAAAAGGCCCAGCCCAATGTAATCTGGTGAAGTTTTTTTTCAGAGTTGTTTGTACAGAGAATGGAGTCGTAGTGTCTTGTTGTATATTGTATATAATACTAAAACACTTCTACTTTTGTTTATTTTTACAAAAGTGAATGGAGTGTGAGGCCTTTAGAGCATGAAGGGTGGAAGCAAAGGCTCGATGCCTTTCTTTTCCTAATGTAAAAGTTTGAGATCTTCCATTGTTCCTTCTAGCCACCATCTCACTATGTATTCTTGCATTATGCTTTTCTTGTTTTGTCTCTTTTAAATTTAATGTGAGGTTGTTGCTGCATGCACATTGCACGCCATCATTGGGAAATGAAGCCCCCTTGCGTAAGCTGTGTCTTCTCTGTCTTGTTCAAAGTAAATGATGTTTTAGGGTCTGCCCATGGTGATTGTAACTAGCTTCTGATTAAATGGTGTTTTAGGGTTTGCCCATGGTGATTGTAACTAGCTTCTGATTTATGTGGAGAGCACAGGTTCTCAGGATCTCCTGTTGGGAAATTTTTGGGCGATTGATACATCTGTTGGAGAACTCATTGAGAACCTACATGCTAGCCTGATGATTAAAAAGAGTATTCCTTCTGCCGCTAAGGATTAACTTAATGTTATCAACTATTCCTGAACAAAAATTGTCATTAGCCTCTTGTTTTCTTGTGAATAGAAGCGTATTGAAGTATAAAATTGCTTGAAAACAATCAACGTGGTAAGGGATGGCTTTGGATTTTTTCTCTTTTTCTTGTATAAAGGGACAGGAGCAGCATAAACAAAAAAAAACATTCAAAGAGAACAGAAGATAAGTTGAGCCCATGCTACCCAGGGGACTGTATATCTTGAGTCAACTTTGTGTCATGGTCACTACAGATTCAATTGTCTCGGAGAGCATGATGGGCTCCCGAGATAAATATTCTGGGAAGTTCTTGATCTTTACCAAATTGATGGATTTTGGTCCCGTCATCAGCTTGTTGATTCTACAATGGCCATTCATTCCCACTTTGAAGCACGCAGAGATGATGCTATCTTGACACCCTCCATAAAAAGTGGGACTACATGAGTCGAAGCCCTTGGTCATCGCATCATGAGACAGCATCCTAAGGAGATGGCGAGGGGGCAGAGGATCCCTAGTTAGGACCAATCTTCGTGATTGTGTCCAACATTTGGAAGGCAAGTTGTACCGTAATGATTTACAGCCTGATCTGTCAGGTCTCCTAGATTATCTCACTCTCATCACCATAATAGTTTTCTGTCGGACTCGATCATTTGACACTCATTTTCCTTATAGTACTTTTCAGCCAGATTCGATCAAAAATTCTGAGCGCGAAATAGTATACATTAGTCGAAACCCGAAAGATACGTCGGTATCAGTGTGGCATTTCTCAATAAATCCTGAGGCCTAATTAGCCTCCATTTTCATTGGAGAAAGCAGTGGTGAGCGTTTGCAAGGGAGTTCATGGTTTTGGACCATTTCATGACCTTGTTTTACAGTATTGGGAAGAGAGCAATAAAAATGCCTCGTTAGATATGTTATTGCAATATGAAGAGCTCAAAAGGGATCCCATAGCACAGGTGAAAAGGCTGGCTTCCTTTCTTGAAGGGTCTTTTAACAATGAAGGTGAGATTGGTGAAGTGGCATGGAGATGTAGCTTGGAGAGGCACAAGGACCTGGAGGCTAACAAGGATGGTGAGAGGGTATGAAATGGAGGTGCCTATTAGTGCATTTTTCAGGCTTGGTGCTGTTGGTGAATGGAAGAACTACCTTGCCCCAGAAACGTGTGAATGTCTTGATCGACTAGCAGGAATGGAATTTGAAGGGATTGGTCTTCGTCTTTCAGGCAAGAACTAGGCATGATGTCCAGTAAAATTTATTGATGCTACTTCATTCGAGTGTTCGTGATAGAGATCTTCAAGTGCATGGTCTTTGACACTGGTTGCTTTTATGTGAATTTCGTCAAAACAATGCAATGTTCTTGGGATCAAAAGATTGTTTTAATCATTGAATTTGTCATGTGCGATATGAAAAGATGTTTTTATCATCAAATATTCAGCTATTTTCATTAAAAAAAAATCATTTTATTATTTCCTTACGAAAAAATAATAATAATTTTCTTATTTTACATGGGCTAGCACCTAGCCTGTTCTATATCTGGGCCCAATGGGTCCATTTTCTCAGGGTAATAGGGCTTCAAGCCATTAGGTGTACCTTGCGAAATGCTACCCACCTACCCCCATGAACGTCCTGCCATGTTTCAGTGCGATCTTTTTTATTTTATATGGTTTTCATCTATTTTTTAAAAATAGAAATAATTATTTTTTTCGAAAAAAATAAAAAATGATAAATACTCGTTAATTAATCGTGATGTTACATGGACTGATGGATTTACTATGAAACCAAGTCGTGATAAACTCGTATACCATCTTTGGTGGCTTTGTTTCGATGATTGTGGTCTTATCATCTAGAGTTGAGAACCAATGGGCATCGAAAGCTTAAAACTCATTAACCCTTTAAGCAAAGCTTAACAACTTGCATTAAGAAATTAATCATATCAACTTGACAACTTGTCTCATCTCACTCACCAACCAAGATATATTCAGCAGCAAGATATCACTACTTTTTTTTTTTTTTTTTA